TAAACGACAAGTGATCAAAGTATGGAAAAAATAGATGAAATAAATAAAATCGAGATGAAGAAAAAGAGAAATATAGATCTTAATCTAGATCTGTGTCTGAGTGTTTACAACAGGTAAAGTATCGGCTGCAAGAGATGTTGGCAAATTCGGTAGTTCTAACCACCTAACACCTTAAATCCTAGTTGAGTCGCAACTCGATAACCAGAAAACGGAAATATTCTAAATTGCTCTAAGAGCTAATTGTTTGCTGGGAATTTCTGTCTGTTTGCGCCCACTTCCTTTGTTTCTCTTATATATGCCTTGAATATCGGTCATCTTTCCTTTTTCCGCGAAAATCTTCATTATCTTCTTGACTAATCCATAATTATCCTAAAACTTGACACTTATCTCCTTTTTTCCATTTATCTTCTGCAGAAATTCGATAAACCATCATTGTAATTAGTTTCATTCTAGTCTAGAACCGTTAGTGGGTCTTTATCCCGTTCTGGATTTTTTTGGGCCATTTTGCAATTAAACGATTTTAATGATTTCTTTCAGAGAAATCATCCTTCATACACATACGCGATGTTGGTTCCAAAATATAATAAACCAATTGTCGTTTTATACAACTGACTCGAAGTCTTTGCGAGAAAAAAAGTTATGCGAATTTTATAGTAACACTTCAACGGAAAATCCAATAGAGACAAAACAAGAGACAACTTACGAAAGATCCGAAGGAGAGAGTGAAAATGTCAGTGTGGTCTAGTCGCCCATGGGCAACCAGACGGTACTAAAAGAGAAGCATTACAACATTTGAGGCATGACCTGTGTTGTCATGATAATTAATATTGAGAGTTTCTAGAAAAATAAGTTGGTCTATAAATATATAATCTATATTTTTCATTAAAATAATCATAAAATTCCTTATTAATCTAAAAATATATTTGACCACTATCTCTATAATATTATTTGAGAAGTCACTTTCTTAGGTGTCGCGCTCACGTTAACTCTCACGCTGGTTGATTACTATGATACCCCTAATGAATTAAAATACAATTAAATATTATTTCCTTTTTAAAAATTTCCAAATAACAATATAAAATAAAAAGGAAAAATTTATAAAATTTACAAAATTATTTAAAAACGAAAATATAAGTATATATAACATGGTTTAATAAAAAAGGAAAATTCACAAAATAGTAATATTTAATTTAATATATTTTAAATAACATAAAATATACCTTTGAAGTAATAAAATACTTTATATCTATATCTTCTTAGATAAAAAAATATTTGTATATAGTGTGATTTCATAAAAATATTTCACACAAAAATATTACTATTAGAAAAAGAAATATTTTTTCTTTAAAAAAATAATTTTATATGTTTAATTGAAATTTTTTTATTCTTAGTATTATTGAAATTATTTTTTTAGTATATTTATTTGACTATAATATCTTAGAAAAATATAATTTTTATTTTACTTAAATAGTATAATTTCTCAAAAACAATCACTTTTATTGACTATTTTAAGAGATACTAAAAATAAAACTAAAAATAAATTTAGTAATAAACATCTTTTGATCAAGTAACTACAATTATTTTAAAATATCATAACACTATATAATTTAACGAGGTAGATATATTATATTTTAATAGTTAAAATTATCTGTTTTAAAAATAAGGATTCTGATTTACCTAAGTATATTGATTATGGTTATATTAAGTTTCATAAACATAAAAACAGAAAATAAATACAATTATTTTAAAATACCATAACACTATATAATTTAACAAGGAAGATGTATTATATTTTAATAGTTAAAATTTCTATTTTTATGTTTGTGAAACTTAATATAACCATAGTCAAAATACTTAAGCAAATCAGAATCCTTATTTTTAAAATTATTTAAAATAAATTTCAGTTTACCATCCAATCTATCTAAAGAATAAATTTATTTAGAATTTATAATATATTTTAATTATTGTAAATATTTATATGTGTTCAAAAGCTTCTAAAAATTCATTAGTTACTTATGTATGTAATTTAGAATCAGACACTTTAGTTTTTATTTTTTTTCCTTCTAAGCACAAAAAATCTTAAGTTATATATAATCTTACTAAATATATTTATATTTCTAAAATAACAACCATCATAAATGCAAATAAGACAATTAATCAAAAATTTAATACATTTAAAATATAAAAGATTATAGTTGAATTCAGAGAAATAAATAGAATCCAATATATCTAAATGATAACTAAATCGACTGTAAAAACAATAAAACAGACTAAATATAACATATCTAAAATTATTTATATAATTAAAGTAATATAATATTATAATATAAATTAGACATACAAATTATTTATTAATTTAAAAATTTAAGTAAATATCAATCAATTATTATTGCATATTTATTTCAAAAATATACATGCCCGTGCATGAGCACGGGAAAATCACCTAGTTTTTTAAATAAAAGCTGAAGAATTACCTAATGTGATTAAAATATATATGACAATTAATAATTTTAAATAATAAATATTTGTTAGCAATTTGTATACTCTCTATTTTTTTTTGAAAAATTATTATTAAAATAGATTACATAATTACATTAGTCATACAATTAAAAAAATTATATGTTGTGTTTTAAGTTTCAAAAAAAATCCTTCAGTGTTAAAATTCCTACATAAACTTTAGTGATCAATGGTTTAATTTTAAAAAATGTAACCATTCTCCGGAGAGAATGTGAAAGCTCTAGCGGCCACGCGCGTGGGAATCTGGTGTGGTTCGGATTTGAACTCGAGTTCCTTTAGAGATCCACGGAATGCCATGACCACCCCCGACCACAGACGCGTGGTTTCAATGGTTTGAATTTTCTGCTATAATAAGATACAGATAACTATAAAATCACATAAGTAAAAAGTCTTATTTAATAAATGTTTATATGTATATATATATATACTACATAAATTTATTTTAAATGAAAATATATACCATATAAAATAACATACTTACATTTTGATATTGAGAATTAACTTAATATTTTATTTCTGAAATTCACATTGAATTACTAAAAATGATTATAAAGTACTGAAATTATTAAAACTCCCACATTAAAAAGTTTATCAACGGTTTAATATTTTGTTATAAGAAATGCTGATAATCATAAAATCATATGATTAGGAACTTCATTTAAGAAATAGCCATATTAAAAAATATTATATATATATATATATATATTAATATCATTTAAATTTAATTATATATCATGTACAATAGATAAAATTAACTATAAAATGATCGTTAATAGACAAGAGTGATCATTTTATTTACATGGGCTCGCCAATGAATTATTACGTAATAGTTATTGATTTTTCAATTTTTCTATATATATTGATTATTTTATTATTTCATAATATGTAAAATACATAAAATAAGTAATAATCCCCTATATATTAATTGAGAAACATTTGAAAAATTGTAACCTCAATTTTGTAATAATTAAAAAAAAGCACATGCTTACGTGTCACTCAATTAGGTAGTCAATTACATTCAACTGAAAAATAAGTAGGTCCGCATTCGATTTTTATATGCCGATAGATATATTTGTTGGTCAAACTATATGATATGATATTTATGATAGAAGCATTTATGATTGTCCTGCTAGATATAATTACTATTTTATTTTCTTTCCTTAAATAAAAGCTACGGAATTACCATAAATGACAAATATATATATATGACAATTAATGTTTCTAATAATAAATATTTGATAACAATTTGTATCTCCTCCATCATTTTTCTTTAATTTTATATTATTAAAATAAATCAAACAATCAAATTAGCTATAAATTAAACTTTAGATTTTTTTCGTATATGTTATATTTTGAATTTAGAAAAAACAAGAATAAATGACTAAAACTATTAAAATTATTATGTTAAAATTAATGATCAATAGTTTAACATTTTTATTAAACAAAGATACACATGATTATAAAACCATATGAGTAAAAAGTATTATTCAATAATAAAAAAATATATATTAAACTATATACCATATAAGATTACATACTTATTTTAATTTCAAAAATTTCAATGAATTTTCAAGAACATTTATAAATTATTAACGTATTAAATTTTTCACATTGAAAATTTTTGTTATCAATGATTTAAATATATTAGTTCTTTTTTTTAATTTTCT